AAGGTGCTCTTTCTGCTACCAATTCTTTTACAGATTGAGAATTCTCGGTTTCATATTGAATGATGTCTATTGGAGTCATAATTTCTTTCACTGATTCACTTAATGACTTACTCCCCAACGTCTAATTCAAAAATTAAATCGTGTTAATATGTAACAAAATATTTAAAACAATAATAAAAGTCATTCATACTTTATAAAAATCTTCCAAGTAACCTTCATCTGGAACTGTAAATGGACTAAAAACTCTATGATATACTGGGTTATCATTAATGAAAATTTCTTTTGCTGAATTCAAACTGTATTTGTCGATTTCGTCAATCTCAGAACTTGATTGTTTTCTTACAGACAACAAGATGGGTGCTTTTTTCATCTTTAAAATTAAATCTCGTTTTTCATATAAAAGATCTTTATCAATGGCAAGTTTCCTCAAAACGTTTAAATATTTATCTACGTTGTCGTTTCTAATCGATTTATAAATTTCTTGAGACGATCTCACTAATAATTCAGCAAAATCTATTATAGATGGTTCATATTTGACTCCACAACTTTGAAGAAATTTGTTGGCTTTTTCTCCAAAATCAATTTGTGAAAAGAAATCGCCAAAACTAAAAAATTTTAATAAAGTTTTGATTAAATTATTCATCATATGTAGGGTGAAAAAAAAAAAATGAAACATACCAATCTTTTTGAACTTTAAGAAAACATCTATTCGGATTTATGTGAATAATTGTATCAGGACAAATTTTATCTTGAATTGGAATAAATTTGAGATCACCAAGTCTAATCCAATCTTGATAGGTAAAGCTTCCCTGTTGTGTGGCCAAATATTCAAAAATTTCTTTTGCTTTCTTTTTATCTTGTGGTGTATCCTCAATTAAACTCTTTAAGAGATTTTCGTTACTAGGATTTTGACGAACCCCAAATTGTTCTGCTTGAAACCTTAAATCTTGACGTATGGTTTTGAATTTCATTATTTTACTTTGAGAATTAATAAAACAATCTAAAGGTTTTGCATAAACATTTGGTTCTGAGCAAGGTAAAAAAGCAAAATCGACTTTAGCTGGATTATAATCTTTAGAATATTTCTCATTGAAATTTTCAATAAAATATTTAAGAGCCTTTTCCTTTTTATAAATTGTAAGATCAGAATCAGGTAGCGTTAAATATTCTAAAATGGTTTCGAGTGTGGGATTTTCACGTAAACCCATCTCAATTAAAAATTTTCCTAATAAATTTTATTTATTTTAATTATAGATCTTTCAAAAAAAGAAAATTTTAATAAATTTAAGTAGTAGATAATATATACCTTCTGGTGTATAAAGTGACCATTTTCCTTTCCAATTAAGTACAGGCAAACCAAATTCGCGATGCAATTCAGAAGGTACATACAAATCACTAGCAACAAAACGCTGTGAATCCACAGAATTTTCTTTAGACCAAACGGGTGTTTCCTTTAATTTGGTTATCTCATCATTTTTTAGATCATTCAATATCGATACCAGATATTTCACAAGTTGCATATGATCCCAGCTCCCCTGACTGACAAGACGATCGAAAATAAGTTTTAATTCAACAACCTATTATAAAAAAATTTTTTTTTTTTTGATCTTAAATTATATTGTAACGTAAAAAAAAAAATTTTTTTTTTTTTACCTTTCGAACGCCCAATAGTTGCATGATATTCTGAACACTCGAGGGTTTATCAAAATGAATCTTCGGTAAGTCGGAGAATAAATTAACGTTTTCAAAATAAGTCTCGCCAGGAATCATCATTCCAAATTTAGTTGGAACACATCTTTTTTGAACAAATAACTGCCGAATTATTTCCTTATCATTTTGCGAAGTATTTTTTAAATTTTTTCCTAAAACTTGATGAACTTTCTCAGCAAATGTAGGATTGGTTTCCAAATCAGGATCTTTGACAATAAACCTTGCCCAGATAATTAAAGGCAATTCGATCCATTTAAACCATTTTTCGAAATACTTCTGTTTTTGTAAATTTCTGGAAATACTAAATGGTAAGACTTTATCCGGCAAATTTACATCAGGTGGAATCACACCAGGGTTCAAAACGTAGCAAAATTCATTCAAAGCTCGAAGTCTATTATCAATACGTACAGTGGCAAGTTTCATGAACTGGGAAAAATCAGCTAGTTTAATAAGGTTTCCTTCTAAATTATAAGTAATCCACCATTTTAAAAGTTCAATAAATTCTTCTTCAGAAAGTTCCCGATTTTTTAATTCATATAAAACATCCTGAAGTGTCAACTCTTTTATGAGTTTGGTCGATTCTATAGCATCCTTAAAAAATTCATGACACTGTTTTAACAAAATTTGTGGAACAATTGGAACTTTTTTTATGAATCCTAACATTTGTAAATTAGGAATACGAACACTAGTTATCGGAAGAACACCGTTCGTTGACAAGATGGATAAATTATTCTTTGAACACTTGTAAAATTGTAATTCGATTATTTTGCCAACCTTCTCATTAGGCGTACTTTGTTTGAACGTGAAATGCATCAAAGCATGTGCTGCTCGTTCTTCAAACCATTCACGAACAGTAAACTTTTTATGATCATCAGGTTTACGAAGAATTTCATTATAAATATTTGCTATTTGAGACATTTCATCTTCATATAAAATTCTGCACAATATTCCAGTCAGGCATAGCATCTCATGGTTATATACGGATAAAGTTTTGTCCACCAGATCAATTGACTCTCGTTCCACCTAATAATACAAATAAATATATATCAAAAGTACAGTTTTATCAATCAAAAACACGTTAAAATATATAAACATACGGTAGGAATTACGCGAGCTGCCAAGTGCGAACAACATCCCGTGGTTTGGTGAGTTGGAAAACCAATATATAATCTACCTTGTTCTGGGTGTGGAAATAAATCTTTAAAGGTTGAGGGAATCTTTTTAATATTACAATCCATAGATGAATTATATTCATCGAATCCAACAAATAACATTTGGACCATAGTTTTACTTGGCGGTTTTTTTTTAGTAATTCGTTCCATTTCTGCAGAAAATTCTGAACTAACGTCAACGTCCAAATTTCCGCTGCCAAGTCTAAGATATATGGAAGTTTCTTCCGTTCGATCATCAATAATGATATTTTTTGAAATCGATAACCTCTTAACAATTAGCTGAACATCTTTAACTTCCACTGAGGTAAGGTGTAACATCTTTTTTGGAGAAAATGGGTCGAAGTGAGATGCGATTTTCAGCGATCTCGGTTTTCCCATTTTCTTTGAAAGTCGTATCACCGGTTTGTTATTATAATACACAAACACGTCTCGGAGATTTCTTGTAAAAGCCTACAATATATAATAATTAATATACGGTAAATCTCATAAACATTTAAAATGAGCATACCAACGAATTTGCGAGGAACCGAGTGAATTTCTCAATATTTGGAAACTAAATAATATAATAAAGTAATCAAATGTTAATTTAACATAAAGAAATATAATATTTTACGAGATTATAATTTTTACCTCCATGGGTTCTCTCCCATCCATTAAAAATGTTGTCCAAGCCTTGTCTTTCTCACCGGTTGGTCCCTGTTTTACAGATAATTGGTTTCCACGCCAAAAGAAAGCCATTCCTTGACCACCGGAAGTAACACTAATTAAATCAAAGTGAATTATAAAAAAATTTGAGCATTTAAAGCATTTATGAAATTTTATAATGAACTTACAATGGGTTTTCACAAACCGAAAAGAGCGAATAAAACCCTACACCGAAAGCTCCTATCTTATAACATTACAAAGGAAGGTTTTTTTTTACCAATTTGAATTCAATAGAAATGTAAATTAAAAAAGTTTACCTTTTGCTCATCAGGATTTCCTTCAGCAATTTTTTTTAGTCGATTCCAATCCTGAACCCTAAAAGTGAAACCATTATTTTTGAATAGAATGCGTTTAACTTTGTCCTTAATGCTTTTGTCTTGTTTTGGAAATTTCGTTTCAAATATGATTTTAACACATGTTGATTTAGCGTCATCTTTATTAAAGAAAATCAACTTTATCATTAGCCTTCTAACAGACTATAAATCAAATTCGAGAATGATAAAAGTCAAAAAGTTACCAGAATTTTGCATCAATTCTCTGAATATTACAAATTCAGCAGCATAACTAAGAGTAAAATTTAAAGTTTAGCACACAAAAAGTCTAAATTTTTTGTGAAACACTCGAATAAAGCTTACCGAGCCAAAATCTTATCAATTAAAAGTCGCTGGTTGACTTCAACACGTTCCTCCTTTGAATTTGAAAGAACCCTTTTTCTAAAAGTTTCTAGAGACATTGGGGATTATTTAGATAGGTGTGCAAGATAAAAGTATTAAATAGAATAAAGAAAATTTTAAGTAATTTTAAGTAAATATTGATATCATTTTGTTCATTTTGTCCATTTTGTCCTATATTTATAAAAAACATTTCGGAGTAAACTCCATAAAATTACCTTTGATCGTTCGAATTTTACAGGTAGATAAGTTAAAATTGCAAAAACAAACATGTCGTATTCAAGTTGCATTCAACAATTGCCGCATATGGTTATATAATAATGAAAGCTTTTCTTCCTAAAAATTACTTCAAACATATAAAAAATAAATTTATCTTGTTAAATGTTCTTTCATTTAAAGTATTTTCGGTGCAATCACATGGAATAATTCCCCATTCAATGAAATACGAAAACTCTTTTTCTTTTCACATAAGTTTATGACGTAGTAAAAGACAAATGATGATTCATAATTTGACAACCGCAGTAATCAAAATAACAGTCCGAATATCGGCATGATTCGGTTAATCTTCATTAATTACCTAATCCAATTAATTGTTTTCATTATTAAATGATTCATATGCTTGTTAATCGTTTTTATCAATTTCCGAAAATTCCCACGAAACAAAAACCTTATATAAAGAGGATTTTCAGACGTTAGGGATATCATTATAGTTCCTACAAAAAAATAAAGTTAAATTAACAAGATGTTTCGTTCGAGTCTTCGTAATATTTACACCAAACGAGCTCTGTATAATCAATCAAATTTACCGCAATCATTCGTTAAATCATTCGCTATTAACACGCGATATTTCACATCATCTCAACCGTTGCAGTCATCTACGATATACGGAACATCTATAACCGAAAAAAATTCTAAGGTCTTAAATCAAATTCCCGAAGAATTATTATTACATACTCATAATCCAAAACCTGTTCGTCATGAAATTATTGAATCAAAAGCTCCTTTGAAAACCAAAGATTTAGAGAAACTTGACATTAAAGTTGGTTTACATCGTGATCCAGTTACTTTGAGTGATAAACTAGCTTTTAAAATCGTTAAATTATTAAGGGTTCCTTCTGATTGGTTGTTTAAGAAGAAATATGTTCATCGTGCTGTTATGTTGGAAACCGTAAGTATGATTAACTCGTAAAGAACTGCGGTTAAGTAACAGGTTCCAGTTAATTCGTGAATTATTTTTTATTTTAAGGTTGCTGCGGTTCCTGGTATGGTTGGAGGCACAATTCGACATCTCCGTTCTTTAAGAAAATTGCAACATGACGGCGGTTGGATAGATCATTTGCTTCACGAAGCCGAAAACGAACGGTAATGACATCTTGTTATAAAAAAAGTTTTTTTTTTATTATTATTTTTTTTTTGCCCTCATTCGTATTCCCCTTCTTTGAATCATTAGCATGCATTTAATGACGTGGATGCGTATCTCAAAACCTAAAATATGGGAACGAGGTTTAATCACCATCGTACAAGGTGTATTTTATAACGCGTTCTTTGCGTTATATCTACTTAGTCCAAAAACTGCTCATCGTGTAGTCGGCTACCTTGAAGAAGAAGCCATCGTATCTTACACGTCTTTTTTAAATGGTAAACGAATTTCTTTTTTTTTTCTGGATTTTAAAAAAAATAAAATATTTTTTTTTTATTTATCCCACCCTTTTTTTTGCTAGAAATTGAAAATGGACATATTGAAAATACCAAAGATATTCCAGACCTCGCCATAGATTATTGGCATTTAGATAAAGATACTGCGACGTTAAAAGACCTGGTTCTAGCAGTTAGAGCAGATGAAGCTACACATCGTGATACTAATCATCATTTTGCTGATAGAATTATCCTTGGTCATGAAGACTTGAGAGATGATATCAAACGAATTTTCGACAAATCCGAGAGTAATAAAGTTAAAAGGATAGCTGGTTTGAGTCAAGATGCCTCTGAAAAATGGAAATGGAATAATTAAGGGGTCTTAAATAAAGGGTTTAAAAATTAATTTAGAAAAATTTGTACACTATTATATTTTGATTAATTATTATTATTATTGAAAATTTCATTTTTTAAATTATTAATTTATTTTTTTTTACTTTTTGTGTGAAATTATTATAAGTACAATTTAAAATACAAAAACAATAAAAATGATTTACTAATAAATGCATCTCATTTTGAGTTAATAAAAGATTGAACGGCTCTTTTTACACCTTCTTCTAAATCAACAAGAGGTTCATAACCCAATCTACTTTTAGCCTTATTGATATTAAAATATCTATTCGTCGTAGTAAATTTCACACGAAATCTGGTAAATCCAGGTTCTTTCCCGGTTACATTACTCGATAATTCAGATAATGAAGCAATAATAACTGCAAAGAATTTTGGAAATTTTATAAAAGATGACGGAAAATGATTGAATTGCGCCCAAATAAATCTACCTAAATCCCAAAATGGAATTGGTGTTCCATTTGTTATAAAGAAGGCCTAGGAAAAAAAAGGAACTTTTTAGTAAAAAATATGAAAACGTAAAAGGTGTTATATTTACTTACTTCTCCTGCTGTTTGATTTTCTTCAGATAACTTATCAACAGCTAAAATATGTGCATAAGCACAATTTTCTACATATGTCCAATCTACAAAATTGTCATTATCTCCTATCTGAAATTTTGATTGTCCTTGTTCCATCACTCTAATAAAACCCGGAATCGCTTGCACATCATTTGGTCTAAATAATGTTTTTAAATTATTTTAAATTATTCTTATTTTATTTACATTTTATTTTTTTTTTTTAACAAAAAAAAAAAAAAAAAAAATTATTTATTCTGTATTTTACCCGAAAATACCACAAGGACGAAGGGCGCAAGTTAATAAACCATTTCTTCCATTTGCCTCTAATACAAGTTTTTCTCCTGTTGCCTGCAAAACACTTTTTTTTAAAAAAAAAAAGAAAGAATGGTTTAAAAGCTCAAATGGATAAATTACCTTGGTTTCATTATAAACATTCATATGTTTTTTAGGGTAAGGAGCAGTTTCATCAACATTAATCAATTCGGAGCAACCATCGTAAACAACGCTAGAACTGCTGGTGTAAACAAATTTCTTAACACCAAAGTTCACGCAGGCCTCGATAACATTTTTAGTTCCCTCAACATTAACTTTCCAAAATAACTCTTCATGTTTACAATCATGAGATGGTGAAGCTGTGTGAATTACCGATGTAATATTCTCTTTTTCTATACATTTACTAATATCATCATAATTTGATAAATCTCCTTTATAATGTTTAATATCTTTGTCAAAATATTTTTGAATTAAATCAAATACTGTTATAGATCGTTCTCCTCTTTTCATTAACATTTCTACTATCCATCTACCCACAAATCCATCTCCTCCGATTATTAAATAATTTTCTACCATATGGATGTTTGTTAAGGGAGAATTTTAAATTTTTTTTTTTTTAAAATAAAAATTTTTTATATGGAATTCTTGTGGAACGGCTTACAATGTTATAGATTAGGATTCATTTTTGGTTTAAAGGATCAACTACTCATATTTTACACTAAAACTACCTTGGACAAGAAGAAATGATCTTATGTGAAATCAACGCCAAATTTGTTACTATTATATCATCATTACGTTTGTTACGTTGGAGAGTGAGTATATATATACAGTAAAAAATATATATAGTTGAAATTTTAATTTTTCAACCGACTGTAAATTCTCGCTTTTAAAAAATTTTTTTTCCCGTTTCAAAATGTCAAACAAACCAGTTCCATCACTTCCCAAAAACGATGATTCTTTAAAAAAACAATCTTTATTAAATGATAAAGATGAAAAAAAAGATTCGAAGAATTATCCACAAGAAGTAGCCACAAGTAATCACCCACATCTTACAGCTGTTAAAGAAGTCGTTTCAAACGTTGTACATAACACAGCTCAAGCTTTAAAGATTGAACCAAAGGAAAGTCATCCTGAGGCCTACCATCAAGATGGTAAAACTAATCCTGAATGAATCATTTATCCGTCATGTGACACGTTCAAGTATTATCATAGTAGCATATATATATTTTTTTATATATTGATTTATGTAATAATTGGATGAACAACATTCTGGACTAACATTGTTGAAAAAAGGGCCTCTTTTGTTTTTCTCATTTATGACATAATAGAATTTTGTCAAAAATGAGAATTGAATTAAAATAAAAAAAATTTTTTCATCTTACAATTTTGTGTCCTTGTCTTAGGATTGAATGATATTTATTATAGCGAATGTGAACTGTATTAATCATTGTAATTATTGTTGTAATAATTGTTGTGATAATTGTTATTTTATTAAAGAAAAATTCCCGCCATTTATATATGTGAAATTTTAACAGGACATTTTTGTCCAGGAAACTAATTTGGCCAGTGGACTAATTTTCTAATGTTAAATCGGATCTTAATTAGAAACAATTCGTTAATTGAACACGTGACTGACGATATATAATAACTTCCTCACTGACACATGATGAAGATTGCAGATTATTTTTCGGCAAATGTTTGTTTTAAATACCAATTTTTAACTTACATATTGTATTTTATAAAAAGTTATTTTACAAAGAAACCTGTATTGAAAACATCAATTACCTTCCTAAGTAAACTTGTAAAGTCATTCAAAAAAATAAATTCAATTATTTATTACATATTTTTAGAAATGATCAGCAAATTCAGATCACGTGTCGGTGATTTTTTTGGGGAAATCATATCAATATATAATAGGGTCACAACATCCCTGATTTCGAATTCTCGTTTTTTTTTCTGTTGTTTTCGAAATTCAATTACAAAAATGAATAAAAGGTTATTTTCATTCATGACATCATTTATTCCAAATAAAAATAATTTTTATAAACAAGAAAATCATTTTCTTAATCGGCTTACACCTTTTAACCAACAAACTTTAATCAAAAATGTTCACAAGGATCAGATAGATATGTCGAAATTTTTCCATGTGATGAGGATAGGAAACAATAAGATAGTGCAAGAACAGGGACAGGAGAAGAATGAAAAAAGTAAAGTGAATAAGTATGGACAAGAAGAGGATGGGTTATTTAAAGAATCACAGAAGAGAGGATCAAAGATTAATGTAGAATCACAAAAACAATCACAGAAAGGGAGGAAACAGCATAATGATTTGGAAAGTTTTTTATCAAGAGAAGATTTAAATTTGAAATCAAATGTTTATAGAGGTACATTGTATGAATATGAAACGATATCATGCCTCAAAGATCATTTTGGAATTACAACAAGAAGAGTGGGAGGAACAAATGATTCTGGAATCGATTTTAGGGGTAGATGGACATTGCCAAATAATCAAAAGTTAAATATAATAGGTCAATGTAAAAATAATTCAAGTAAATGCTCACCAATTTCAGTTAGAGAGTTGGAAGGTGTTCTATGTACCGAAACCAAAGATACTCTTGGTATATTATCCTCCAAATCAAGTTTTAGTAAGGCTGCTATCACGAGATTTTATGCCTCTCCTTATCCATTGATTTTAGTTTGCGTGTTAAATGACGGGCAAAACTGTGAGACTTTTACTTGGAACAAAACTTGCGAGAAAATTTTGGATAGTTTTCAAGTTACACAAAAGTTTTATAATGCGAAAGATGATATTTCTGATGATGTTATTGACCACAAGCCTATATTATTATATGATGGAAAACCTTTCATTCCTAATTTTCAAGAATAGTATTGATAACTGTGATCTCAATTTATGATGTGATAGAATCACGTGTTGCAATATAATAAATTACTTGTTGATATCAAATCACAAAAAAATGTCATAAATTGACATTTTATTTTTAATCCGCAAGATTTAAAACATAATAGATGGATGTCAATTTGTCAAATGCGTAAAATAAACCATCGAATATCTTAAATATCAATATTTTCGTTCGGGCCATGGATAGCATTATTTCCTTTTCAAAACTTTACAAAATTAGTGTTGGAACCTTTTATGGGCTAATTCGGATCTTATCCTAAGAACAATGATTAAAGATATTATTTTTCCAAGTGTGTGACAAGATCAAGTACAGGTTTCAGGAAATATTATGTAAAATAGAAACTTTTTAAGAATTCAATAAACATGACATGCACCTACAAATTTTTTTCTAAAGAGTTACTATAAACTAAATTTACAAATTCCTTTTTGGCGGTGTGAAGATCCATTTGAAGTTAGTGATCTATTTATTTGTACTTCAAAAAAAAATTGCCCAATAAAGATCTTTACAAAAGTATTCATGAATAAATTTGTTTGTCTCAAATTTACATAATTGTTTCTCCCAATTATATGAACTTAAAGGCTATACTAAATTTATATTTATTCGAAGAAAGGGTTAAATTTGGGCAAGTGATCGTTCCAAACTGATTTGATATTTTATGCTTCACCAAATTTGTACAATATCAAAAAAACAAAGATGATATATTCTCTAATTGTGTAATACCGATAAATAAAATACAAGCTATTACACTGCCCCCTTTAACTTTTTTTTTTTTCACTGCTCTGTATTCCTTTATAGGGGGGGTTTTGCTGATCTTGTTTGAAATTTGTAACTCAAAATAAAAAAAACGTAAAAAAACGAATTCTTCTTTTTCTCAAAAAAAAAAAATTGAAAAAAATCCGCAATTTTTTTTTTTGATTATCACCCGAACCATATAATTAAAAACTTTTTTTTTTGTTTCGCTTAGCGTTTATTCAAGTTAAAACCAGAAAATTAGCCGAAAAATAGTGATTTGTTACTTGCATCGTGATAATTTGTAGATATCACAAATTTATAAACCTGGAAATCATCTATGCATATTTAGTTTGGACTTAATATACGTTGTGGCAAATTAATTTTTTTTTACAAAAAAAAAAATTATCCTTTATTATTCTTTACCCTTAATATTAATTATTATTATTATAATAATTTTCCCGCCTAACTGCTGCTGACCCTTTTCCTCGACTTTGTTAGTATCTTTTGTCTTTACGTGTTGCCTATCATTTTGTAATGGCAACTTTGCGGCAGAAATGGGCTATTCACAAAAATTACCGCAAAATTCAAACTTGTTGGCAAGAGTATCGTTCCGTCTCGGATAAAGAGTAAGTTTATTATTATTGATCTTATCCATATCGGGAGAATGGATTTAAAATACGGTTGAAAATAATGAATTTATTGAATCAATCGCTCGATAATCCGCTATCAATGCACCGAAATATTGCTTACTATAATCAAATTTATTGAATTAGATCAATAATTGAGCGGTTTTTAAGATATTTTAGTAAATAAAGGTGCAATTTTGGGGTATATGCGCATTGAAATCATTACTTTTGAAACAAAAATAATCAATCCTTAATTTATATAGTGATGTTCAATTAATGATTCAAAAACTTGAAAATTTTCTCGACATTTTTCAAGAAGCATACAAAGAATGGAGTGCTTCCGGAATTATTATACCAACTGATTTCTCATTGGACAAATTATACGGTGACTGCTCAGAAGTATTAGTGAATTTACTAAATACTATTGATCGGTAATAAATATATATATGTATATACATTTTTTCTTTTGTTTAATTTAAAAAAAAAAAAGAATAATTAAAACTTGATATTTCTGACATAAAATTTTTTTTTTGTTTCTTTTTATAAAGGGAAGTTAATAAAGAGAAGCCAGATCCTGGCGTGGAAAGAGTGGCCGATTTAGTTAACAAGGCGTTAAATGTAGCAGAATTAATATTAAAGGTATTTTATTTAAAATATTTATTTCTTTAATTATGTTCAAATTGATTGATTTATCATCTTTCGAAAAATAAAAAATTAAAAATAAAAATAAAAAAAATTTAGGATGAAAAATATCGGCAATTAGTTGCCAATACACCTAATTTAATTTATCGAATCTTATTATTATTGGAAAAGTTAAATACAACGGAGGCTAAAAAATTAACTTTGAGAGTTATTAGCACGTTGGGTGAAAATGATTTGAATAAAATTGAGATAGGCAGACATCAAGGTTTCAAAAAAATTCTACGTTTATTAATTGATGATCCTGATTTGACATCAGAAATTGTTAGAACTATAAAAAATTTTCTTGAGGTTCGAGACGAAGACATTCAGGTACCTTAAAAAACTTTTTTTTTCAAAAATAATTAAATACATAATATATCAAATATATTTTTATATTTAAGAAACTCTCTAATATTATTTCGTAAATCTGGAATGGGACAATTTAGAAAAATGGTCTAAGGATTTCGGATATTAACAAAAAGATATCAAAAAGACAAAATTATATCAATAACGATGGGAATGTTGATATAGGCATGAAATTAAATAGAGAAAATCTATTCTCTCAATATGATACTTTTGATAGTGATTTTAATGAAGAAGAAAGGGATAATGTGAATACTTTCTTTGGTAGTCTTGTTGGAGAAAAAGTTTCAAGCATGATTGCTGAAATACGTGAATTAGTATTTACTGAGCTTGGTAGAGTTTTTCCAAATTTGCATGCACTTGCGAGTGAAATTTTGGTAAATCATAGCGATAGTCTTAATGATAAAAGGAAGTTAGGTTTGGAAAGAAGGTACGATTCAAATATATATAAATTCTTTCTTCGTAAAAAAAAAAATAATTAATCAACTTTTTTTTTTATAAAAAAAAATTATTTAGAATTTGTCCCTTCATACCCACATCAGATAAAATCAAATCTACAATACCGCGTTTTATTCTAATAAAAGATTCGTATAATAATAAGGATGACAAGTTAGAAAAAATAATATCTAATAAAAGTAATTTAAATGGTAGCGTTAATATTATGACATATCTGGAAGACGAGGACAGTTCTTCAGATTCAAGTAGTAGCGATAAAAGAAGCTCAGACGACTTGGATAAATACTCTGAAACGAGCGCCTCATCTGTTGCAACAAATGAAAGCGCAGAGGTGAATTCTCCAATTTCATTTAAAGGATTTAATGTTAATAATAATAATAATAATAATAATAATAATAATTCAGATATGCTAAAGGTATATATATATTTTTTTTTTTGAAATTTTGTTTTGTTTGTTTTTTTATAATTGATGAATGTTAACGCAATTAAATTTAGGAATATATGCGTGTACAGGGTGCCCTTCGATCTTTGACGAACATATTATCAGAAGGTTTATCTCAATCAAGTATGACAGCAGTTTCAAAGTTGGATATAATAGAGACAATTTGCAAGTTGTTGTTTCGAAATACGGCAAACCAGACCGAATTTCGTAAGATGGATGGTTATACGACGATTTTTAACGTACTTGATCAATTTCCTGAAAATGGAGCGGGAGAGCGCGAAAGTTTTCTCAAAGATTGCTTTAATGTTTTTTTTATAATAAGTCTTGACGGTAGTGAAGAAATGGTAAGAACAAATGAGTACATTTATAATTTATGTCAAATAGTATTTACTCACTTTTAACTTTCTCATATTTAAGGTTGTTAGCAATGTTGACGCTTTTAATCTCATATTCAACACGATTGTCTCATCTTCTCAACTAGATGTGCGGCAACATGCTCTCAATTGTATTCAAGATTTAATTACGATAAATTGTCTTAATGTCGTTGCCGCGTGGAAAGTTGGTGGAGTTGATACTTTAATGATGATGCTGAATTCAGCCATTCGTGTGAATGAGAATATAAATGATCTCTTCCGAGTATTGAAACTGGAAGAATTATCTCAAGCAAGCTTGGAAACTTTTGACGATATAAAATATGATATAACGACAGTTGACCCAAATTCGCCGTCCTTATTTTCTGCCAGATCACCAATTGCACGAGCTGTCGATCTAAATCCAGTGTTTCGTTATTTAGTGGCTGTAACAAGGTCATTGGAATACATGGCAGTTATTCTAAGCGAAAATAATTCCTATATACTGAAAGTGAGTTAAAAAGTATATAACAATTCAAAAAAAATTTTCAATCAAGAATTGCATACTCACTTAAATGTTTACGTCATCAAATTAGGAATACACGCGAATCTTGATGGAAATTTGCTTACCATCAAAATCAATTGTTGTTAATATTATTTTGCGCAGCGTATCGCGTTTGTTGACTGACCTTCTTAGTCGAAATAAAGACGTTGAGAAAAATCTTTTAAGCATATACTTACAATTTATAAGAGATATATTTCAAATGTCCGAATTTGATGGTTTGGCTTCAGATCTAAGTAAACGTGTAGAATCTGAAATTATAATGGACACAACTTTGACCGAACTTGATCGAGTCGTGATCGCAGAACAGAATCTACTTCTCTTACATATCGTTGGGTTATTGGTTGAAGCTTCAGGAAGAAATATGGAACTTTTTGAAGCTTTACAAGGGTTTGAAACGCTCCATGATGCTATAGTTCTTTCTAGTTCATGCGTTGAGTGTGTAAATGATATTAATTCGCAAGTTGGCTTAGACATTCAAGACTTTTCTATAATGAAAGATTATCCTGGATTAGATGAGGATATAATGATTGCAGATATGGCTCTTTGGTTATTAAGAGAATATATCGTTTGTGGTTTGGATTGTATTGAGAGTGTCAAGGCAAGTTTTAAAATTATTTCATCTTAATGTCCTTTCATTTATATTGGAAAATATCAAACTGATAAAACTAAATGATTTTAAATAGTGGATGATAAAGTTAACCAAATATATTCTTGCAAATATCAGTAAATCTGCAAAGCCATCTAATGCGTC